GCGCCTCGCTGGGGAAGCTGAAGCCCGGCGAGATCAGGGCGCTCGCCCGAGAGACCCTTCGCAGCCGGCCCTCAGCTCGCTGCGTTCTCTGAGCGCAGCGCGGTTGTAAATTGCAAAGCGCTTTGGGCGAAAATGGGTTAAAGATTTCCTGGGGAGGGAGGGAGCAGATACCGAGGTTAGCGGTCGGTGGAAAGAGCCTGGACACAGGAGACTGGCCACTCAGACAGGCCCCGCTCAGGAACGTGGGTGTGTGCTGTGCGACCCAACTCTGAAGGACGAGTCTTGTTTCCCACGAGCCGAGAGTGGGTGTGTCCACGCTGAGGATGCTTGCGGGGCCGGGGACGCAGCGAGGTTCCTGGGGCGGAGTTGGACGGGGAAGATGAGCAGGTACATTGTAGGAAATGGTTACTGGCTTTAAAAATACTAAAACTTACCGAGACTTGCAGTTTGCAAAGCAGTGTCACGTCCAGTGGTGTCCCAGACCAGCGAGGTAGGAATTGGATATGGGTGTCTTCTGCAGTTGGACACCCTGGCGTTTAGAAAGAAGTGACTCTGGACTTGGTAGCTGCTCCTCTAAATGTCAAGCACGCGTAGCCAGCCTCACTCAAAGTTATGTGAGTGAAGTTCCCGCATAGCCGAGGGCTGAGAATTCTGCCCAGAGCTCCAGCCACCAGCTGGACAGAGCGCAGTGGGGCAGCCCCCTTTGGGGGCTAGAAGGATGGTTGTCCCCTTATAACTTCCCTACCTGCAGAGTTGCACTCCCAGGTGAGGCTATTTCCTCTCCAAGATTAGTGGAAAGGCAGAATTCCAAATACCTAAGACATATATGAGCACTGATATGTAAACTGGTAACTGTTAGAATTGCTAGAGGCATTTGTCTCTCGGGGCAGTTGATCAGCAGGCAGTAGAAATTACTCAGAGTTCTTGGAAAAGAAATGCAAATTTGTTCATTTACATACTCTTAGCATCTACTTTGACGCAGTACTTCCCTGACAAAGAAAGAAGAAAAAACTAAAATTAAAGGAAATGGAAACTAGATTCTCCCAATTAAGAACTGCCTGTCAGGTACTGTGCCAGATGAATTTGTGCTTCCAGGAATAGGAGACCCCTTGGGAACTTTGCAACTCCTCCTCCTCGTGGGACTGTTCCTTTTCCTGGGGAGGACATGGAGACCCAGAGAGGAAGAATTACCCCAACACCCCTGTGAGTGCACCTGCGCAGGTGCCTCCCGGAGAGGGCAGGGCTTCTGCAGCAGAAGCAGTGTCTTTCAGCCCTACTCAGTCCCCGAGAAGCATTCTCCAAGGTGGACCTTGCATTTGCTCCTTGGAACCTGGAGCCAGAGGACTTGACGGGCTTCCAGGCAGCAGGCAGGCTGCCACCCTGAGGGGCGTGTTCCTGGGACGGTACAGTACAGGGCAGCTGGAGCCGGGGGCTTGGCACCCCAGGTGCCCTAGATCCAGGAGCAGAGAGCGGACTGAGCCCCTCCTGGGAGGGGGGCAATCAGGGTGTTGCTCATCAGAATGAAGCTGTCCTATGAGTTAGCTGGCTGCGTAGACCCAGGCAAAAGGAAGGGGCTCGCCTCGGCCCCTTAACCCTTAGCCATCCCAAGGATTGTAAGCCTTGAGAGGAGATTTGGTGGTTTGCTCCTCTGCACACCAGGGAGGGAGGACTCAACCAGGACAGGGCCCCAGGACGTGCAGGTCTCTGCCGCTCTTCTAGGTGTTCTGGAGCCCACGTGGAGAGGGAGTGAGAGACGGGCCAGTGAGCGCTGTCGGACTCTACGGACACGCCTCCGACTAGGGGCTTGCCGCCAGGGCGCCTTGCGGGGACCTCAGCGCCTTCCCTGGCTCGGGTCTGCCCCCTGCTGGCGGAGGACGAGAGGCACTTGAAAGTGATGGCGTGAAAGCTTTTTTCTTCAGCAACACCTACCTTGTAAAAGCACGTGTGCTAGACTCTTTATAAGATGGCTTCTTGAGACAAAGCGAGCGTCCGGCCCCACGAGTATCGTGGCTCAGCACTTGACCAGAATGGTTTCCCGAGCTTGTGTGCATTATTGAACCACATTTCCTCTCGGGTTAGACTCAGTCAGAAGGGTAAGATTTTGAAGACTGTCCTTCAGTGCCGATGACCCTCAAGTCTGTGTCTTCCTCGTGTCTTTCAAGGAAACGGCAGTGAGTCTGAGGAGGATCGCAGCGTGGGGAGCGTGGAGAACCAGGCCCTCCCCAGCACGCACAGGGTGCCCGACTCCAAAGTCCACCCCGTCCACACCAAGATGGACGTCATCAAGAAAGGCCACGCCAGGGACAGCCAGCGCTACAAAGTAGACTATGAGTCCCAGAGCACCGACACCCAGAACTTCTCCTCCGAGTCCAAGCGTGAGACGGAATACGTGAGAGCTTTTCCTCCTGCTGCAGGGGTGGGGAGGGGGGTGTGGCTGCCCGGCCCGGGTGCCCAGAGGTCACGGGGTCGACAGTAAATCCGGGGTCCTGCTGCGGCAGCGGGTGGCCACGAGCCACTCCTTACAGAAGGGATGTTGACCCCACCACCACCACCACCACGGCAGGGATCTCGTGAGAATCAGCGTGCTGCTCTCCAGGCCTCTGCGGGAGAGAGACGTGTTTTCACGACTGCCGCTAGTTTCTTTACTTGGCCTCTGAGTGTCCTGGCCTGTCGAGGCTCGGCCCCAGCTCTGGGGAATCGTGAGGGAGACAAGGAGCAGGGTTCGCATCCGTGTGGGAACAGTGAGGCCCAATCAGGCAAGAGATGCTGGAGGAGCGCATGGCAGGCCCCCCCCCCCGTCCCCGGCTGGTTCCCTGGGCACCATGGGGCACTGGCAGACAGGGAGTCCCTGGGTAACCCGTGCCTGCTCCTCAGGGGCCCTGCCGCCGGGAGATGGAGGAAACGCTGAACCACCTCAAGTTCCTGAACATGCTCAGCCCCAGGGGCATCCACATCCCCAACTGCGACAAGAGGGGCTTCTACAAGAAGAAACAGGTGAGCAGTGTCTGCACGGCTCCTTGTCTCCCACGCCTGCTCTTGTGGGGCAGCAGTCCACAATGCCACCCCGGTTCCGGGGCCACAGCCCCTGTTCCCGGTCCCGCCACACCCGAGACCTCCACCCCTAAACCCCGGTGTCTCTCCACCATCGCTGCTCCCTCCTGAATTGCAGAGCAGTGCGCGACCTCCCGGGAGCCCTTCAGTGGCCACAGAGGGCCTGCCCCGACAGAGCACTGCCGTTAGCCCTGCACCACTGAGGAGAGTTTCTGCCAAGCCTGACGTGACGTCACATGTCAGCAGGCTGACCCTGAGGCCCCTCCCTTGTTGGTCCCTCTCACTCCCGTGCCTTCCCGGTGGTGGCCAGCTGCCAAGGGTCAGACGCACTGGAGATCTGGCTCTTTGCAGGTGTGGTGAGTGCACATTAGGTGAGGTCACATTAGGGCAGCGTCCCTGTCGTCCTTCTAACCGGACAGCTTCAACTGTGGTACCCATAGAATTAGTCCTAGAACAGAAGGCCTGGGCACATTCCAAGTGTTGGTGGTGGTGGCCCCGATCAGAGGGCTCTGCCCTCCCCAGTGGCCACTGATGGCTCTGTCGTCTCCATATATTCATACCAGGCACTTATTCAGCCAGCTCGGCCTGAGAAGGTACCAGACACATGGCTAGGATGTGCTCCGAAGGCCCCGAGGTGACCTGCACCAGGCAGATGCGACACTGTCATTCCCCCATTCAGCAGGGGGCCTTTAAGGCCAACAGGCCATTGTCCACCCCAGCCAGACCCCGAGGAACACGGACCACCAGCCCCCTGCTTTTCTGGAACACCACGCGCCCCCAGACACGCGGACGGGGTGCACACCCGGCCTCGATCAGGTGTGCTTTCTCGGCCTAGCAGAGGCCTGGCCGCTGAGCTGCCCTGGGCACCTGGGCGTCAGGACCCCCGCGGTGGGGCCCCTGGGCTCACGCTCGGTCCTCTGTGTGCTCTGCCCCCAGTGCCGCCCTTCCAAGGGCAGGAAACGGGGCTTCTGCTGGTGCGTGGACAAGTACGGGCAGCCCCTCCCGGGCTTCGACGTGAAGGGGCGGGGTGACGTGCACTGCTACGGCAGCGTGGAGAGCAAGTAGAGGCGCCGCGGGTAAGGAGGCCCCTGTCCTGGGCGGGGCGGGGGGCGCTGACGGGAGGCCGGGGGTGTGGGGGTGGTGGCAGACGGGGCCCGGTAAGGAAGCCGCTGTCCGGGTCCGGGCAGGGGCTCTGGGGACTGCCCACTGAGGACTGCCCACGGTCCGGCGGCCCCGGGGACAGACACACACCCTCAGCAAACACGGGAAAGCCCACTGCGCTGCCCAGACAGAGCAGGAAAAGAGGGTCTGCGGCCAACTTGTCTTCAGGCTGCTTCACCTCATTTTAAAAAGCGAAGAACACCTAAACATCCACGTGCACACAATGCAGGATTTCCAGATTTAAGCTTTTCCCCATAAGTCTGCTGATTCACTTGCCTTCACGTGTCAAGTGTTTTAATCCCAAAGAACTGGCTGGGGGGAGGGTGTAGCTCAGTGGTAGGGGTGCTGCTTGGCACCAGGAGCTCCTGGGCTCCATCCCCAGCACCTCCATTAAAAATAAATCAATAAACCTAATTGCCTGCCCCCTCCAAAAAAGACAAAACGAAAGAACTTGTTAAAGGAATGTGATTCTAGAAAATGTGGCTTTTTTTTCTGTAAAATACATTATGGCTAGTCTGATAGCCTACGATTAATACAGCCTGTGATCAATGCAGTTTTAACAAAGTTGATTGAAATCTAATATGAAAATGAAATTTCAAACCATCGTTTTGAAGGGGGAAATTACAGTCAATACTCTTCTGCCTTTTCCTAAATGAAAGAGCTTTCAGGGGAGGAAAGGGACACATACTTCATCTTCTCAAGACAAATTAAAGGAAGTCTCTTTTTTGGGGGGGGTATGTTTTGTTCTCTTGCAAGTTGGAAAAGACATCATTCTAATTTTAGGGTGACTCTGTGTAAGTGAACACCGTGAGCGTCTTGTGGTTGAGACACTGCTTCGTTAAAAAGTGTGGCGCGAGCCCTTAGGAGGCCAGGTGCCCGCAGGTCATGCCTGATTGTCCCAGGGCTGGAGTTGAGCCCTCTGGATTCCGGGGGGAAGTGTTTCAATATGTTCCTTTTTCTTTTGTTTTAGTTCATGTGGAGCTCAAATATGCCTTATTTTGCACAAAAGACTGCCAAGGACGTGATCAGCAGCTGGCTACAGCCTCAATTTTTATTTCTTTTTGTGGTGAATTGATTTTTTGGGGGAGGGGGAACCAAAGTTTAGAAAGAGGTGTTTGAAATGCCGAGTTTTCTTCTCAGTGGTGAGCTCAGCATCTTTCCACTTTCTAGTAGTCAGTGAAACACATTTCGATTTTTCTTGTTGCTTCCTGTAAAGATACTTGTCAGCTCAGGCACACGCTGTCTGTCCTGGTGCTGGTCCCGTGTGCCCCGCTGCCATGTTCACCGACGCAGCCCACCTGCTGCTTCATGCTTGTACATGCCCGCTTTGTCCCCCTGCGAGATGACACAGGCCACGTCAGGAATGGGAACGCCCTGCACTCTGGGGCTTGCGTGTCCCAACACGCCCTCCTGGAGCTACATCTTGGAGGCCAGGGCCAGGGTCCCTCGACCAAGAAGATATTTTGTATTATCTTCAAGGGACCTGCACTGCTTGGAAACTAGTGGAGAGAATAAGGTGGAATCTTACTAAAAAAAACAGAAAAGAAAAAAAAATGACCAAGAATGTTCTGGGGAACTCTGGGACTCTACCAAGGCGGGGATTTCTGACCCTCCTTTGTCATGCAGCTTCCTGAAGACACAGCCTTTGCTGAGGCCCTGTAGGGCAGGGGGACAGGGCAGCAGAGAGAGGCTCCGTTTTTTGAGGCATCGCGAGTAATGGCCCAGTTCTCCAAGTACTGCAGAAAATCGTGTTTCCTGTTCAGCAGTTCAAGGGCAAGTTTGTTCTTGAGGACGAGCTTCTTAAAGGGAAAGGAGATGTATTTTCATCTCTCCCCTTTTGTGCCCCTTGGTACAGTGTTTAAAAAAAATCGTAATGATCCTGTCTAACCACGAGAGATGAGGGGACCCTGAAAGCACCCAGAGGTGGCCGCGCCCACGGCACTTGGAACCCTCTTTCTAGTTCACACGTGCACAGAGGAGGAAGCCGTTCTTCGCGTCTGTTCACACAGGGTGCGTCATCGTCCAGTAGGGTCCACCCGTACCAGATAACCCTAGGAGAAGTGGTAGCAGTGCTGGAGGGTACCAACATGGCCACTACCAGGGGTGGGGCCGGAGCATGGGCCCGGCCGCTCTCCTGCCCGGGAGGCTGCCCCCAGGGTCGGGCAGCAGAGCGGGGAGGCGTCCCCGGCTCTGGCTGGGCCCATGTGGCACACAGCCCTCCTTGGGAGACAGAGATCGCGAGACGTTCTGCCTACCTATTAGCTTTCCTTTATTTTTGTAATTAAGTTTTTGAGGAAAAAAGGTATTTTTGAAAAGTTTCCCTGGCGATGTATTTATAAACAGTAAATAAAGTTTTTACCATAAAGAAAGCCCCTTCCTCTTGTCAGTGTCTGGGTCCAGGTTTTGTGTTACTAACGAAACTCTCCAGAGAGGCGCAGGTGTGCGGACTGGTCTGAACTTTCCAACTTTCCCTGCTTCCGTCTCTGGAGCCCGAGGAGCTCCAGCCGAGGGCCTTGCTGGCCCTGTGGGGTTGCTGGGTGACGCCTGCAGTGAGCCTCCAGGTGGGAAGGTCAGGTCGTCCATCCTGGCCCCGTCCTGGAGTGGGCAGGGCGCGGCTCAGCGATGCACTTCCTCTGTGACCATCTGGCTCTGGTTGCCATTAGGTTGTCCCCTGTTGTCCTGTCTGTCAGCACCCGGGGCAGCCTCCAGGGCTGAACAGGACTGACACGCTGGAGCGTGCGGCCACACTCCCTTTCCCTGCGGCCCCGTTGCCCCTCTGCTTGGAGAATGGAGTGGACAAGGCAGGAGGAGGGGGACCCCAGGAGACTCAGGGTGGGGTCCAGGGTCTCCATCCCCTCTCTGAGCCTTGGGTCAACTGCCCCACATCATGGAGCTACTTCGGGCAAGGTTCTGGGCCTGTGACTTCTGGGCATTAAAGGTCATCTGTAGGTCAAGGAGCCTCCTGTTTGGAACCATGACTGGCCCGTTAGTGAAACATCTAAGGTGGGTCCCTTATCCCAGAGCTGTGTGTGCGGAGCAGAGAGCTCTGGGAGGTCCTGGGGAGACCCCGTGGTGGCAGCCAGGGCCTGGGGGTCTGCGGAGAACCATGGACTGCAAGGACGCTGGCTGGATAAGCCCACTGGGCTTGCCTTCCTGGAAGCCCCCAAGTCTCCTGCCCTTTCTTGTCTTCACCTTCACCTCCTTCCACACCCGTGGCCACCTTCTCTTCAAAGTGCTCCCGCCCTTAGATGTCTCCCTCGGCCCCCCAGCTGGACCCTCAGAGCCCCTCTGCCCTCCCAGCTTCAGTGCTCACCAGCCCGGTGACCCTGAGGACTGTGCGTCCACAGCAACCACCCCCCAGGCACACACAGAAATGAGTGGCCGGGGCTCTCCACTCAGCAGGGTAGAGGCCCTGCTGCTGCCGTGGCAACCGCTTACCAGGATCCACCCAGCAGAGGGACTCCCTGGAAAGGTACCAGTCACGATGCTGAGGACGGTGTCCTGGAAAAGGGCTTCCCTGACGAGGGACGTCTCCTCACATGGTCAGCCTCCTGGAAGCAGCCGTTCCTCTCCAGAGACATGTCTGAAAGGCCCTACCGGGGACGCCGACAGAGAGCTCAGTCACAGTTCAGACGGAAACTCCTCCCTCGGAAGGCTCACCATGGCACCACTGAAACGTCTGTGACGTCGTTAACACAGAAGAATGGTGGTGGCGGGGTACAGAGTGAACAGAAGGCAGTCGTGTTGTGCACACACACGAGCCTGAAGGGAAAAACACTGAAAGTGACCTGGTCACGCTGTGGCTGCAGGTCCTGTCCTCCCTTATTCCTGTCTCGTTACAGCTTGAAGAGCTTCCATGGTGGACGGGGGCACGCGCTTTCTCACCCCTGATGCTGGGCGTTCTGTGGGCTTTGACAAACGCACGAAGACACGGAGCCCTGCCGAGCACCCCCGGGACAGCGCGGAGTGAAGTCACGCGGGCCGGGCGTGTGTCTGGTTTCTGACCTGAGGCAGGCAGCAGGCTTTCACCGCTAACCGTGGTGCTAGCTGCTGCGTTTTCCCAGAGGCCGTCTGTCAGCTCGAGGAGGCTCCCTTCTCATCCCAGTTTCTTGAGTGTTTTCATCATACAAAGGTGTTGCGTGTTACCAGGTGCTTTTTCAGTTCTGCCGTGATCATGTGATTTCCACTTGTGTTTACTCTGTTAGTATGATTCAGTACCTGAGTTAACTTCAGGAAACAGCCGTGCATTCTGAGACCAGTCCCACCTGGTCACGGTGAAGACGTGTTGCAGTATGTTGCTGGATCTAGCTGGCCAGCATTTTGTTGAGGATTTTTGTGCCCCTAAATTTTTCTTGTGATGTCCTTGACTGGAATCAGGGTGAAGCCTTTATGGATGTAGGCTCATCGAATGAACTGGAAATGTCCCCTCGCCCCCGCGTTTTGGAGGAGTGTGTGAAGCGCTAGCGTTCTTTACGCGCTTGGCAGAATTCCTCGGTGAGGCCGTCTGGGCCCGGGCTGTTCACTTCTGACTCAGGCATCTCGCCTGTTGCGGGTCTAACACGATGGTCTCGTTCTTCTGCCGTGTTGGTGGTTCTTGTATTTCCAGAAGTGTGTTCGTGTCATCCCGGCAATGCAGTTTGCTGGTGTACCAGCGTCCAGACTGTTCTTCACGATCCTCTTTGCCACTGTAAAGTCGCTCGTGTTGTCGCCTCCTTCACGTCTGGCTCTAGCCCCTGGAGTCTTCTCTCTCGGTCAGCGTAGCGAAAGGTTGCCAATTACATCGAGCTTTTCAGAGAGAAAGGCCTCGGTGTCGCTGATTTTCTCTGTTGGTTTCTATTCTCTGACTTACTTCCGCTCGAATCTTTGTCGTTCTCTTCTTCCTGCGTGGTTTAGGTTTGCCCTGCCCTTCCTGTTTCTGCGCCCTAAACAGACTTGAGGCTTTTTGCTCTCGACAGGGGCATCCAGAGCCGTAAATTTCCCTCTAAGCACTGCCCTCGCTGCCTCAGATTGCAGAGAAGGTGAGCCTCCCAGGCTGGGGAGCTCTGCTCCAGCATAGACCACTGAGGCAGAAGCATTAAAGGGTGATCTTCATGGGGGTGGCTCCACCGGTACCTTCTGCCTCTGCTGGCCGTGAGGACCTAACGCAGCAATGCTCAGGCACTGACGGAACCACAGAGACGATCATATTAATAATTCTCATGGTCTGAGTCAGACACGGAATGGATTCCAAACATGGCTGGAGCAGAGGTCCTTCTGTCCCACCAGGCGCTGTCCCCAGGGCCCACCTACCTCCCAGACCTGTGTGCACCCACTGGACTTGCTGCTGTGGCTGCGTTCTCAGCACACGAGCGTGCGCTTTTACGTGAGAACAGAAAGGGCTGTGCCCTCTGTGAGCGGGATTCACCCAAGGGAGCTGCTGGGGAGCTGCTGGGTGCCACAGTGGTGAAGGATGGGGGCACCGGATCAGAAGGACGCGTAGCTCAGATTGCCTCACAGAGGCCCGTCAGCTGCCGATTCGTTGGAACTAGAAACGCGAGATACAGTTGCCGGCTACGACTAGTTCATGAGAGCGAGTCCAGACGCCGTGCGTCCTAGGACGCTGTTGATACTTCTGTGGCTTAACTGATGCTGTTGATTAACCACCCAAACGTGCCACAGTCCAGGTGGGTGGCACAGCCCGACTGGCTGGCATGGACGAGACCCTCGCAGGTGTTCCTTTGCCAGTGCATTCAGGTTGCAGGTTGCATCACTTGAAGTCTGCCCGGAACTCGCCTTCTGTGTGTCACACCGTGTGGAGGGAAGACCATCAGCCAGCGCCTGAGGGGAAGGTGTGGTCCAGACCTTCAGACCGGGTCCTACAGGGCCCTCAGCGGGGCCTCCACGCTCCTTACGAGGGTGAATTGCCGGCGTCCTGGGACAAGGCAGGCCAGTAGCGCAGGCAGCAGAAGAAGATACCAGAAACAAAGAAAAGTGCGAGGAAGTGGTGCTGCAGGCCCAGCAGGCAGACAGGCAGGTGAGGGGTCTGTGTGACCGAGGGGCAGTGGCGAGGTCTGTTACGAGCGAGGGTGACCTCCAACTCCTCGTGCGTACGTGACATCACGCACAAAGTGGGTTGCAGGGGCCGGGATCCGTTCGTGCACAGTTCTGACTGGTTGATGTCGAGGGAACAGGGAGGGGAGAGGCCGTGGAAGGGCAGGGCTTGGAGTCTGGTAGGGGGCTGTGACCGGCCCTGGGGGTCAGGCTTCCGGGCGGGCACTGCTGAGGTGAGCACTGTCTCAGCTGAGGCTGCCTGTCGTCAAAGGGGCCTTGGAGCTGGGCTCTGAGGCTGTCTGTGGGCCCCACGGAAGCTCATTCCCGAGCAGTTGCTTTCATATCGGGAGAGGCATGTTCTCTGTGTTTTCCGGTGGACGTATTTGTGACTTGAGGGGCCCGGCGCAGGCAGGTGTCTGTGGCGGGACGTCCACGGACCACATACTTGCCCCAGACCCACAGCTGGGATAACAGCGACCAGGACGCTGTCCATGTGGTCGCTTTACAGGGTGGGATGAGGTCGTGGCTGACCCCTTGGGGCTGCTTGGTCACCTTGAAACACTGGGTCTGAGGGCTGAGTTCACGGGTGGGTCGGGGTCTCGGCACAGGGAGGATGGCAGCTGTGGGCTCAGAGGGTGGAGGGGAAGCTGGAGCCGAGACCGGGGAGGGGCCGAGGGGGACCCCGCTGGGATGGGTGAGACCCTCATCCAGGGAGGGGCCTGGGAAGAGCCATCAGCAGGACAGGCTGGGGGCGGGGCATCCTCGGGAAAAGCAAGCAGGTTGCAGTTTAAACAGAAGGAACCCCCAGGCTTGGGGCTTAGTGGTGCGAACAGAGAGGCGACCAGGGTGCAGACCTGGAGGACAGCCCTGGAGCCCTGCCGAGGACAGAAGTCACGCAAAATCAAAGAGGAGGTGTTAGGGGGAAGTTAAGGGAGTGACAGTCTTGCATTTAAGATGAAAAACAAAAACAAAAAAACCCTGGTCTATTTACAAGAGGAAGAGAAGGCGCTAATGGAGAGGTGAGGGCCTCAGGAGGGAGCCCTTGGTTGGGGGTGGGGTGGACCTGCCCGCAGCCGGGAGAGGAGCCTGCAGACTTGAAGCCCCGATGCTGATGCTGCGTGTGGAAGGGGATGGGAGGGTGCAGGGGTTTCCGAGACGAAGATGGTGTGTGGATGAGTGTCCTCTGCAGCAGCAACGCTCCCGTGCGGGATGTTTACTCCAGTGTGTTCACACTGTGTACGCGTGTTTTACAATGTGTACATGCCTATTTTAACACGTTGCAACATCTCCACCTGCCGCTTTGATGACAGAATCAACACCACGTTCCCTGCACGTGGACTTGAAGCATGGGTCCGTGGAATAAACAGAATAAACCATTTGAAAGCACAGCTTAACCTCCCTCCATTAAGCCACGTGAAAAAAAATCACTGCTACACACTTGCTTTTGCATTTCCAGGCAGTATTTTCACCTGCTCAGGAATGTATTTTCACAGCAGCAGGAATCTTTGAAGAGCTAAAATACAAGTATCCGTAGACAACAGGATGGGAAAAGTGTTTCGTGACATATAAGTTAACATAACACAAGTTACTGTGTAGAAAAAAATAAATTTGTGAATAAATAAACTACAGCTTTATATATCAAATAACACGTGGAGTACAAAAGGTAGTTCTCATATATACATACATATACACATATATATAAAGGTGTGAGTGTGTGCTGGAGTATAAATACACTGTGTACGTAAATATTTCACGTGGAGGGAAGGTCATTGGCCTCTGCGTTCAGTTCTGTAAGTTAAAATACTGATGGCACCTGGGGTCCCCTCTGACGGCCACAGACCCCAGGATTTTCTTCCCACTCCAAGGGTAGACGCACCAGCAGAGCCCAGGCTCTCCCTCCAGGGACGTCTCGCACTGCAAAGGGAAGAAGCAAGGTCAAGAGCGGCCCCCGTGAAGCTAGGGGGGAGGTGGCGCTCTGTGCTGCTCAGGCCCACAGGGAGGGTGTGGAGCTGAGAGCCTGGCGCCAAAGCCAGCGGTGACCACGCCCAAGGGCAAGGCCAGCACCCTCTCGGTCCTCCTGTAAAGCGGAGGTTAAGGCCCGGAGTCCAGTGCAGCGAGGACATCACGCCTGCGCTAACCGGAACAGCGTGGGCACAACTGGCTGCTGAGCCCGGATGGGGGCCGGGGGCTCATGGCCGACTGCTGTTTCCTGACAGTTCCCGTCTGCTATAAAGCACCTCCTAGTCCTCAGCTGAACCTCGCTTCCCGGAGCCCTAAAAGGTGCCTCTAACTTAGGCCTTGGTTGGCTGGATCTCACTTATTACCTGGCAAGCTTAAAAAAAAATGCAGTTGTATTTCATGACAAAGCTCATTTCCCTTTGCGGGGAGAAGCAAATAAGAGATGTCCAGTTGGCTACCTGCGTTCCCGAGTAGAGCTGTTTGTGGAAAAACGGGCTCTGCAGGGCTGTGGGCAGCCAGCTGCTGTCCCCGTGAGGCTGCACCTGGGGGAGGACACCTACCTGTTTGCTGTGATAGAAGCCATTCTTGTTGCAGTTGGGCAGATAAAACTTGTAAAGCTTGTCTCCTGCCTTCTGCTGCTCCCTGGCTAATCTGTCCAGCACTTTGTAGAGTTCTCGCTGGCAGGGCTCCTGAAAGAAACCAAGTTAATTGAGGATTAAGGCATTCATCTGGACAAGCTGAGACAAGTCTTCTCTGTTTCCATCATTTCAGGAGGAAAGTCTGAAGTGCCTGGAAAATGGCTCCGTGCTTCCCTTTTCTGGGTACATGCGTTTGTAGAAGGATTTTTCTCCCACAAATCAGCCCCATCACATTGATCCTTTGTCGCCCTCAAGCGGTAGAATTAAAACCAGACCTCAGTGAAGGTGCCGACCAGGGAGTTCGTGCCTAATGGGGCAGCACTTCAGTCTGGGAAGATGGAAAATGTCTTGAGGTGGATGGCGGTGACAGTTGCAGGATAACGCAGACGCACTTAAGGCCACTGAACTTTATACGAGAAAGTAGCTAAAATGCGAACTTGTATGTTATGCATAACAAGTGTTTAAAAAGTGGGGGCAAAATGTGATGGGGAGGAGGGCATTAGTAGTATGGCTCAGTGCTCTTTGCGCCCTGTCTAGGCTGGTACTGTTATTTGAGAGATCAGAGACATCAAGTGACAGATCTAAAGCTGCACAGCACGAACTGCAGTTTCTTTCCATCCAGCAGTCTCCCCTGTTGGAAACCTTTGTACTGAAAACTGAGCAAAGCAAAGCTGGAAAATGTCTGTTATGCTTTGGGAAGGACCGTGTTTCTATCCAGGGTTCAGGACTGGACCTGCAGGGCGCAACAGGTATCAGCTGGAAGCCTCACCTGCTCCGGGGACTCACCTTCCACTTTTTGAGGTCTGTGATCTCTAGGGCCCTCATGCTCTCATAATGACTAATGGCATTCCAGAGGATCGGCAGGTCTTCGCTGGACGCAACCATCAGGTGGAAACTGTTCAGGAGCTGCTCCTGGGTCATCTCTGTGCTCTCGGACGGCACGTTCTCTGGGGCAGCAGGGTTCTTTGCATCTGAACGTGGAAAGCCAGAAACCCATGAGCCCTCCGAAAGCATCTGCACCTGTCCCCCATGAAGTTGCTTCCCTTCCCACAACAGCAGGCTGGGACAGGACAGTCATGCTGACCCAGAGATTTGCCTACACCCTCTTTAAAGGGACCGCTGATGGTTTCCGGGAAGCGGAAACTCCAACAGCAAGACCAGCTCTATTCTGGGACAACAGTCGGCTTCAGGTCTGGCACGAGTGCCCTGTGTTTTTGCTTCTAAAGTAGCCAAAGGGGGAAGCCATGTGCACATTTGTCGAGGCCTGGGAATAGCCCTCAGAAAGCCGTGGACTACGTACAGCGCTATTCCTGAGCCCGTCCTCAGCTTCTCCATCCATAAAATGGGTATTTTAGTAACTCCCTATGAACACGTGGTAGGGTTCATCTAGAAGTAGGGTCTAGATTGCATCTCTACCCCTTCTATTCCAGGGGCTCTGCCTTCCCACACACAATGTAATTTCTTTGCACCCCTGGGAAGAGGAGGGAGGGTCACCAGACATCTTGCAGATAGCGCCAGGGTTTGGATTTGGTGTATGGACAGAATGCTGGCTCCCTGAGGGGTCCCGGGGGAAGCCATCTCCTTTGAGGACCATGGAGGTGACTATCTCACTGACTCTGAGGCTGTGAGCCAGCCCGAAAACCAGGTCCCCTGCTTGGAAGGGTCATGCCCTGCAGCAGATTTCTGACGGCACAGAACCAGACGATTCCTCCAAGAACCACAGAATCACACTGGCCACGCAGCCAGCCAGACAGGGGGCTAGGGAGAGGGGCAGAGGAGGGGGGTTTCCTCTGCCGCCCACTACGAATACGTCACTGCAAATTCAGGGAAGCTCTGACAATCAGGTTCTGAGGAGGCCGTGCACACATCAAACACTGTTTTCCAAGCAATGAATGGAAGTGACCTTCTGGCCTAAATGTCCACATTATATTCTGTAGACACCAGGGAAGCACACACTGTCTGCACAGGACCTGTATTACAAAGGACATTCCAGACACCACCCAGGAGGCCAGCAGGACGGGTTCTCATTCCAGGCCTTCCAGGAACTCACGCACTACACAGGGCCACACTGTCGGGTGCTCCATCCCCTCCCTCCTCTCTCATGTCTGGGCTCCCAGACGAGTCTGAGGGCCCTCTTCAGCTCTCCCACCAAGATGTGTGTGTCCTCCTTTCTCCTGGGCACCCCCTGCAGGACCACGAAGCAGTGAGTTTCATCTGGGTGACCTGAAACTCTTTCCCCTTCTGGTTCTGGCTGCAAGCTCAGTTCTGGCTTGCTCCCCACCAGCTGTGGGGTCTGGTGGAGTCCCTGCCCGCCCCGGCACCCCCCGCCCTCACCCCATTTGTCCCAGGGCGGAGGCTGCAGGTGGAGTCGGGGGAAATGGTGTTACCTGTGGCCTCGGTGCTGGGTGCTGGCATGCAGGAGCCCTGGCCGCGGGTGAGGGCTTGCAGGGGCCGCGGCTCCCCTGGAAGTGCACGGCAGCTGAGCCCGCGGGCACAGCGCGCAGTGGCCACGCCGCAGGAGGAGCCCAG